ACATGAGGCAGATTCTGTCTAGAAATTTCTAAGTGTCAAAGTTTCAAATCTCATGAAACCCTAACTTTAATGTTTCATATCTCAAAATCTAGTCAAATCTCATGAAACCCTAACTTTCCATAACTTAGTGAAATTTCAAGTTTCTCAAGGTTGTCCTTTTTGCAAGTAACCTCAATTTTCTTGATTTTTCTTGATTGATCATGATACAAATCATAAGTTAACATTTTTATTGACTTAAAGAGGTCATGTTTGCCAAAAAAATTCCAAAAGTCAAACTTGGTTTTCATCAGAGTTGACTTTTTACATTAGATGTAACTTGAACTTTATGATCCTTTATGAAATCAAGTCCTTGGGCTAACTTGAACCTAATGGATGGATCCCATAGGTTTTTTGAGTGTCTTGAATCATGTTCCAAGGTTTGAGATCATGTCTTGGTCAAAAGTCAAAGGTATGGTTGAATTTTTCTCAAGAACCCTAGTTTGTGGTCCAGATGAATTTGAATCCTTGTATTGCTTATGAATCAAGTTATTTGAATCAATCCAATCTTGTAAGTAGATCAATATTATGTATTTGAGGTCCTTGAAACATATCTTGAGGTCTTAGATCATGCCTTACTTCAAAAGTCAACATAGGGACTGAATTAGGTCAAAACCCTAATTCCTGATTTTTTATAAATGCAAACCCCTGAGGCTATTTTGAACTTATGAATGGACTCATGAGGTTTATTTGAGCTTCTTGAATCATGTATTGGAGTATTGTCTCATGCCTAGATGAAAATTTCTCTTTGGAAGCCTTGGTCGATTAAAACCCTAATTTGGTGACACTGATGGTCTTAAGGCTTGATTAACTTGGAATGATACAGTCTTGTGTTATATTCTTGATGGGGAGGATCTATTTATCCTTCATGGATTTTTGAGAGGATTGAAAAGTTAAAGATCATGTAAGTTCTTGATTGATCCCTTGCCTGAATGCTCTGAGAGGGCTCAAAACCCTAATCCTTGGTTAAGGTGAATACTCAACAATTTTTTAGAAGATTTGTGAGGTATGAAAATACATCCATATTATGGTGATGATTTGCACAATGGTGTGAAGTCTTGTTATCAAAATTTAAGGTATGAAAACATGTTGTCACATTCTTTTACCATGCTCACATGTTATTACTTATATGTTATATTGAATGCTTACATGCTATTGTCATAAACATGTTTGGACATGCCATACTTAGGTTGTCACTTTAGTCTTGTTAGAACTATGCCTCATGTATGCTTAGGTGTTGTAAAATCCTTGGTTACATGTGTTTACCTTGGTTGCCACCATGCTTATTTGTAACTTTGTTAAGTCCTGAATGTTATTATGTCTTTGTTCATTATTGTTACCTTGATCTTTTGTGACTTTGTCAAGTCTTGTCTTAGATGTTGCCACATCTACCTTTGTGTCTTGGTTATTACCATGTGTATTTGAACTTTGTCATATGTTATATGATTCTTTGATTCACATCATGCTTGAATGTTATCTTTGTCACTTATAACTGATATCATACTTAAATATCATTCTTGTTCATTTCATCCATTATCACTAATGAACTCATGTTTGTTTTGACTTTGTCAAGTCATTCTCTTTTCCTCATCCTTTCTTTTGTTGCCTAAATCCAAAGGAGAGATATTTTGTTGACTTTATGTCATAGGTAGCTTAACCTTACCTCAACTTCCCTTGTGACCTTGTTAGAGTCATTAACTTTTTAACTTCGCCCTAGGTTAGAGTTTGTAAACTCTATGTAAGTGTTGTTGTTACAAGCACTTGCCTTCCCTTTGAAACCTTGATCACTATCAAGTGTTATTCACTCTTATTAAGGTGAGTTACGATTGCTCTGATTTCGTCCTTATAAGGATACATAGCCATAAGACTGTGAAGTCTTGGCAAGCATACTTAGGAAAATCTTTAGGTCCTTCACTATAGAACATTTCCAAGAATTAACAAGCAAATTAACATAACACAAATACTTACAAGAGGTTCATATAGAGTACTATAGATACTTAGGGTGCTAATACCTTCCCTTAGTATAACAATCTCCCGAACCTGTAGATCTCTTTGCATTGTTGTTACATTGCACAATTAGTGTTTTATTCGATCTTTTCCCTTTTCTTTGGATAAATTAAAGTTCGATGGTAAACATTCAATGTTTTGTGATTCAAGTTAATATAATAGCTTGACATCTGATTCTCACCGCAACAAAATCCTAACCAATTTTTCACAAATATGAGGACCTAGATCAAAGACCACTTTCACCCTATCTATATCAAAATGTCGGGATTCTTTTGTTCTTGAATCCCCTTCCAACACGCTACCAAAAACATTACCAACACTTACAAAGAGATCACTTGTCCATGCATGAATAGGAATGCCAAAACAAGAGATCCACACTTCCTTCTTGGATGAAAGGAAAGAAGAAGACCACACGAAAATAGCTGATTCCAAAAGGAGACTTTTGTTTTCCAGAATGTCTCCCATTCCAACCCATATGAAATATGACAATGTTTGAAATGCAACTATTTAATGATAATAATGATAATGAGACATGCAAGAAGTTGCAGTGGTAAGCTTCAGGGCCAGCCATTGGGCCAAGCTACTAAGGTTAGGGCTTTAGGCCCTTAAATATATAATTTTCCATCAAAGAAGTTAAGGGCTAAAAAAAGTCTCCATCAATTTAATATTCTCATTAAAACTGTTCAGCAGTAAAGTGAAAAAAGAAAAATCGTATCTTTTTAGTTTGCACCATATTAATTGAAATTGATTATAATAACTTAACAAAAAAATGTTCAGAGCAACAAATGTTTCATGTCATCAGAAACGTTTATATAACTTAATAAAAAAAGAAATAAAAATTGATTATATTCTCATGCAATAAATGTTTCATGTCGGTTTTTCTATAAAAACTGATGTGGAATTATTAATAAAAATATAAAATATAAAAAACATAATAGCATATTTTAGGAATTCAATTAAAAGATATATAAAGCCGATTTTTGTTGTAACACTGAGGGGTTTGAAAATATCAAATAAAAAATTAAAATTGAAATTTAAAAATAGTATTTTGAAATTGATTAATGCAAAATATATTACCTCTCAGTTGGACAATGTCACCGAGTTAAATACTAATTAAAAAAATAAAAAATATATATATAAATGATAAAAAAAAGGAATTTGGAGAGGCGCCAAGTGAGAAACACAAACCAAAAAACTGAAAGGAAAAAACATAAAATGCAACGACTATGTGTCGAAGCGAGTTCCCTTATAGATCTATTCCCTCGCTTTTCTGAAAAGCTCAGGTAAATGGTTGATAATTTTTATTAAAAAAAATAAAAGTTGACGCTCGCAATACATATTTCCTCATTTTTCTATTGTTTGAGTTGTAAGTTTTGTCCACTGTGCCATAAAGACCTTTAGCAACGTTTTTTTTTTGTGCTTTTAGCAGCGCCACTTAGGCAGGTAAAGGCAGCGTTTTTTAAAGGGAAAAGCGCTACTAAAGGTCCCCTTTAGGCAGCGCTTCTTTTTAAAAGCGCTCTCTAATGTCACCTTTAGAGAGCGTTTTTTCATAGAAAGCGCTCTCTTTTTCCCCCTTTAGACAGCGCTTTTGTAAGCACTTTCTTATGTATATTTTCTTCAAATTTTAGGCACCGCTTTTGAAAGCGCTTTCTAATATATAGTTTCTTCAGATTTTAGACTTTTCTCCCCATTTTGGCAGCGCTTTCTATAAAAGTGTTGCCTTAGGTCCATTTTAGACAATGCTTTTCTTAGAAAGCGCTTTCTTTTCTACACGTCATTTGATGTTTTCAAAAGCATTTTTTTAGAAAGCGTTTTTTTTATTATAAGCGTTGTCTATTGTGCATTTTTTAAAGAAGTATTTTTGTTAAAAGCACTGACATAAGTCTTATTTTTTACTTATAAAATAGAAACACAAACCATTAAATCTTTATAATATTTCAACACAAGCCTTTGTTTCAACACATATAAACCTTACTTAAAAAGGTACAATTTTTCTATTGCAAGATAATATAAACCCTTACTTAAAAATCGCATCTTTTTCTAAAGAGCACAAAAAGATACACATTAAAAAGACCCTCAATTTCATGTAACATGGACAAACACGAAACATTTGTTCATTAAAAAGATACGATTTTTCTAGACAATATAATATAAACGTGTATGCTCATTAAAAAAATGGACAAACACGAGAAGAGTTGTGGTGGAGCATACATGTTTGCAGGAGATATACATGTTGTTCAGTTTATGATACAACATGTATATTACAAAGTTTACTATACAAATAATTTAAATTGAAATCAAAAATAAATAAAAAATATATGGTTGTATTTTGACGCATGTGCACATTAAAAAAAGCGGGCAAACGGACACGCCGTCTAGACGCTAGTATATTATAATAATTTTAAATACATACTATAATAATTTAATTTAAATTTTTTATTAGAATATAAAAGGCCTCAAAATTGTTTTAAATTTCGTAGAGTGTTAGGCTGTCTCTGATAAGCTTTAATCCTATGAAGATGCAAGCAAGGAAAAAAGCAGGTGGATGCAATGGGAAATGCAGGTTGGTTTGCATCTGATTAATGGTTATGAGAAAATGCAAGAAGTTGGAAAGATATGGTTTCCATAAAAATAAAAATAAAACAAGAATGGTTGCATGTAAAAAAAAAACCCATAGAGAAGTTAGAGTGTCTCTCTAACCTATCCTAAAATTCTTACAAAGAAAAAATAATAGCATGCAATACAAATACTATATCATATTACTAATAAATATGTAAAATGTCCAAACAAACCTACATGTAGAGAAAATAACGAATAAAGAAATTGAAAAAATAGTAGAATATCATACTAAAACTACTAAACTTTAATAATGATATTAACAATAATATCATTAATATCATTTTGCTTCTTTGTATAAAAACCTTGTAAAACTTCAATGCATCTCCTTTTTGCTTTCCTTACTTCAACCATGTAAAACACCTCTGTGGCAAATTAAGCTTTCTTTTTCTTTTGGGTTTCGAATTCTCAAGCATCGACTGCAGCATCATAGTTTGTTGATTTCACAAAACATCATAAAATTTAGAGCAAAGTGTTGAATAAGAATGTCTTATACCTTTAACAAGTTTTCGAAGTTGAGTGCTTTCGACATGGCAATCAGTTCAAACGCATTCATTGATAGTAGCAGCTTTTTATTTTCTGTCACATGCTGCTGAATATATTTATAGACACAAACCTTTACTATACAGTGAGAATTTAAATAAAATGAAATACAAGAATCATATTTTAAATTCTTCGACGTACTTGTGAGTCTTTAACGACAGCTTCTTCTTCGTCGAGGTTGGTTTCGTCACTCTCTTCGAAAACTGTATCTAACCTTCTTCGAAGTAATTTTGAATCGTCGAGGTTGGTTTTGGGTTTGATACTCTCTTCGAAAACAGGAGGCATATAGAATTTCTTAAACCGTTCATTTTCATAAATATCAGCCATGGTGATTCGCTGCCATATAGTTAAAATGTTGTCAACATTTCGGCAATCAAATTTTACATGATAAACAGAAGATAGATAATCAAATGTTGTTTCTTACCTTGCTTAGGATTGGATACAAGATTCTGTTTTATTAATTTTCTCGCACTGAAAGAAGCCACGAGAAGTAAAATCAGCAGACCGAGATTGGATCAAGAAAGAAAGGAAACTCACAAAATGAAAACAGATGTAAGTGTAAAATAGGAAAACTTTGTATACAGTTCCTTAAGAATAGGATCATCAAAAGCTAAGTAAACTGTAACCAATATGAATAGGATCACTCCACATGACAACAAGTCCGCATTTGCTCTCCATTATATATATATATATATATATATATATATATATATATATATATATATATATATATATATATATATATATATATATATATATATATATATATATATATATATATATATATATATATATATATATAACTTCTACGTTGAGGTTGTTGAAATGATTTTTTTTTGGGTAGTTAGTGTTTCATGTCAATCAAAAAACACTATTATAAACCGTAATGGTGCAGACCGTGTTACTATTTGTGTCCGTTCATACTTCAATGTTTTCAACTAAATATTATCCGCCTTATTTGTTTTTTTTTCTTATCCAATTTCATATTTGTTTCGTGTTCAATATATAACTTAAGAGATAACGTCCATCTACTCGGTATTGGTTGTGTAGGTCATCTAAGGGTATAAAAAAAAATTCATCTTCATTGTGTTATTCCTTCACCTAGATTTATAGTGGAATACCATCGTCTTCTTTTGCATGTAGTTGTTCATATCTATCTCAGTCTTAATATTTTTTTAAAATCTAGTTGATTTGAGTTATTATACATTAATTATTGAATTAAGTATTTGGTTTGTACTTTAAGCTGAAGTTGATTTGAATTCTTACCCAAAAAAAAATCTATTTGGTGATTAAGATTTGTATTTTAAGTTGAAGTTGGTCTGCAATTTGAGAATTGGGGTTTGTATTTTAAGTTGAAGTTGATTCAATTCTTACTCAAGAATTATAGAATTGGGATTAGGGTTTATATTTTTAGAATTTTATAAAAATTCTAAAAATTGCATTTGCATTGAATTGGTAGATAGTAAAATAATCTTAATTTAATTGAATCTTTAGGGTTTCAATTGAATGGTTCATTTTTCAGTTGCATAAAGAGAAATTTATATTGTGATATTATTCAAATTTATTTAAGTTGCGTGCTATTGTGAATTATTTTGATGATTTATTCTTCAAATATCTTGTAGTTAAGTAATGACTGCGAACAATTTACTCAGAGTGTTTGAACTTAAAAACACACGCTGAAGAAGGGCTTGCATGGGTAAACAAAACAGAGTTAATTCATGTAACTTAATGGGATAAGGTTTGATTGTTGTTGTTTTATTTTTTTAGATTAAATATTTTGATAACCAACAATAGATTGGGAGGAATGACACAATAGATTGGGAGGAATGACTTGTTTAGCGGACTATGTAAGACTTTAACTTTGCTAATGTGTGATTGTTGGATTTGGATCCTCTCCTTTTTTATATATCCTGCCATCTCTCATGTTTCTAATCTAAGGGTTCAGAATTTATGTTGAAGAACTTCCAAAAATAACAAAGACAAAATACTTATCCATTTCTCTCTCCTATTAAATGACTTTTTCATTTAATTATTCATTATAAATTCTGAACCGTTAGATTAGAAACATGAGAGATGGCAGAATATATAAAAAACGAGAGGATCCAAATCCGTGATTGTTGGACGGTGTTTTTCACCCTTTATTTATGAGTGGAATAACATATTAGTTTTTTGTTGTGAATTTGTGCAGTCTTACTATTTTGGTTTTGTACAAATTATTTGTTTTTACATACTAGGGAGTTTGTGATATGAGATCATTTACTTTGTTAAAATCATACAATTTAGTAACGATAATCTGTAGTGGAAGTGGTATCATATGGCTGCTTTCAAAGCATTTCGGACCTATCTGATTGGTCATAGAGTATCTAACTTTTGGGGACCTGTTGCCAACTGGAGGTTCGCCCTAGTTGTGAGTTTCAGTCGTATGATCATCTGTTTTTCTTGTTAACAAACTTTTTAAGCTAATAGCCAAACTTTTTTTACATCGAAAGGATTTGGCTGACATCAATATACCTCCTAAAATGTTGAATTTCTTCTTAGCATATTGGTATGTGAATTAATTGTTTCATCACCTTTTTTAAAGTTTTGCAGCAATAACATCACTCATGATGTTTGCATGGATGATACAATGATACAACTATCTACTTCTTGCATGTCATGCTTCAGATGAGATTGTTCAGCTCTATCAACAAACCCGGTGTTCAAAAAAAGTTTGAACTCGAAAACATACAATGAATAAGGGCTTGCATGGGTAAACAGAATAGAGTTAATGTGTCTTATTAACAAGTACAAGTGTTGTGTCTATGTGGTTAATGAGAGACAAAGGTGACAGCCCCTTTTAAACTTGAACTCCTCCATGACCATGAGCTTGGTAAACCCCAAGTATTGATCAGTCATAATACATGTAAGCTCCTTGTTAATAAGAGAAATGATGAAGAAGTTCCTGCAAGAGGGAGATGGAAGAGATAATAGACATTATCTATGGTAATCGTCATCTCACCAAACAGAATATGAAAGGAGGATTTATCCTTAAACCATTGCTCAAAAAGCGTGGATAGTAGTGGAGTGTCTAGCATGGTTTAAAAAACACTCCACCAACGAAAGTAGATTGACATCAACAACAATTTTTCTAACGTTATTAGGCATCTAGACATTTGATAATTTCTTCAAATTCACCCTATGGGTGGGAACCTTTAACGGGGCATGGTCTTGTAATAATTAAAGTGTACACCATAACCTATTTTCAACTACTCAATAATAAAAAGAAGGTTAAAATAATATATTTATACCTCTCCCTGCCAAAGTCTAAATGCCACATGATTGACATATGTAGTGAGCAAGGTATGGTCACCAGTCCCACCAAGGAACCCCTCATATGTGTGTATAGACGGCTATGTATCTGCCTAAGTCGTCATATATGTGTCAATCTGAGCCTCCACCTTAATGTTAGCTTGATGAGCAACCTTTATGTACGAATGAGCCTCCATCTCAATGTCATCGTGAACCTCAACCTGAGTCTCTATATCCTCTTAAGCATCAGGCTCTACATCAAGATCTTTTCCCTTTCTAGCTCTACCTTCTCTACGCTAGATGGTACAGGGTTCCCGTGACTACTCAATCATTCTTTTGTGAGAAACGTTGGGGACTACTTTACCCGCCCAAATATGTGAGTCATCCTTGTCATTTTCCTGCAGACAAGAACTCTCTGCAGTTGTTCTATCAGTTAGTCTAGAAGCAATTGTGTCATCTCTTTGTATGGTCCTCACTACACTAAAAAAAACAAAGAAATGTGAACTACCAAAATTTTCTAAAAATCTGGAAATAAACCTGGTTCTACTAGATTTTTTGAAATATTTGGTATACATGTATGCATTTTTATCGGACATGTCAAAAATTCTGATAAAAGAGCATGTTTTTTTTTACCGGTTTTTAAAAAAATTCATGTATATTGGGAGTGTCAGGTTAAAGTTTAAGAAATTCTCTAAATGGTGGGTATCACTTAGGGGTGATACCACCCAACATCAACAAGTGATGCATTGTATTTGTTGCCTACTAGTAACATAACTAAACATAAATTTGTGGAGGGCCTGGATTCGAGTTTGTGTCTTTTCTAGTAGTGTTTATGTAATGGGTGCCCTTTAAAGGAGATCAGTATTCAAAAGGGGTTGAAGCAATGAGATCCTCTATCCCCCTTTCTTTTTCTACTTATGGTGGAGAGGTTCTTTGAAGAAAGTTGTCTCAGTTGGATTTCTGGAAGGTTTTAAGATGGGATCAGGTGGGTTTGAGGTGACTTATCTTTGGTGGGTTTGAGTATGCTTTGAGGATCAAAGTGAAAATTTCCAAGAGTAATTTGTTTGGAGTTAGTGTGGGAAGGTCTTTTTTCGAGTTGGCCAAAGGCTATTTGCACTATAAGGTAAGTGTTCTACCTTTCAAGTATTTAGGGCTTCCAGTGGATGAAAATCCAAACAAGAAAGGTAATTGGGAGCCTCTAGTCAAACTTTTCTATAAGAGATTAGCCACATTGGGGAATATATTTGTGAGTTTATGAGGTAGGTTGGTTCTCCTGAGTTCGATATTGAATGTTATTCTGGTGTTGTTTTTATCTTTTAGGAAGATGCTTGTCTCGGTTTAGAAGAAGTTGGTTAGTATGCAAAGGCGTTTTCTCTTGGGAGGTTCCAAAGGAGAGGCTAAAATTGCTTGGGTTAAGTAGGAGGAGGTGTGTAATGCCAACAAGGAAGATGGCTTAGGAATGAGAGATCTAAAACTAGTGAATCTTGCTTTGTTAAGCAAGTGGATGTGGAGGATTCTCCAAGATCATCTGTCACTTTTGATTAATATTGAGAAGGCTAGTTTTGGGTCTCATTATTTTGTTTCCCTTTTAGGAAGGTGTCTCATTGCTGGAGAGGATTTTCTCTCCTTAGGTCTCCTCCAAATCTGGAGATTTATTAGTTTGCATCTTCATGTCTTAAGTTGGTTGAGGATGGCCAAAAAACTAGGTTTTGGCATGGTCTTTGGGTGGGGAATACTCCCTTTAGGTGTCTCTTTTCAGAGGTTATTTCTTATCTTGGAGAAAAAGTTTCATTTGGTGAGCTCTTTAGGTTCTTAGGTTGAGGTGGTTTGGGTTTGGAGTTTTGTGTGAAGGAGGTATTTTCAAGATTGAGAGGATCAAATTTTTTAGGATTTTCTTAGTCTTATTTTAAAGGTTGTTAAGCGTGATCATGAAGACATCTGGGTCTGGAAGTCAGATCCTCCTAGGGGTTTCTCGGTCAATTCAAGTTATGATATCCTTTTGGCTTTGTCTTGGGCCAGAGAAGGTAGATCCGAGAGGGTTCTGTAGAGTCTTGTGAGGACTCGGAAGAGCTAAGCGTCGTCCAAAGTGGTTGTTTTTTCATGGCAGTTGATCCAGAATAGACAACCGACTAGGCAGAATATATTGAAGGAAAAATTATGTTTAATTCTAGGGATGCAAATTGTGTAGTGTGTGTGTGTGTGTGTGTGTGTCTGTGGAGCAGATAGAGTCGGTTGATCATCTTTTTATCCTGTGAGATTGTTTCAGGTGGGCCAGCTAAGGCCTCTGCCACCCTCGATTCGAGGGGTGTTTGAGCTGTTTCAGGGTTTATGTCATAGAAAACATATGTCTTTAGGCTTGGTTTTGATTTGGAATTTGGTGGTTTGGACAATTTTAAAAATGCTGAATAAAATATTTTTTTTATCCAAGAAAGCTCTTCAATTAATCATTGGACGTCTATGATTATTAATTTGGCATAGAAATGGATTGAAGCCCATGCTCTGGTCGTTTTGTCTGAGGCTTCAAGTTGTGTTTCAGATATTCGTTGTAGTTTGAATTTTCTATTACATTTTTTTTCTCCAACTTTAACCAGGATCTTCCTCTTGCACGCTTCTTATATTCTTTCTCTTTTCTGGTTGTTCTTGTACTGCAGTTTTTATTTTTAATTTATAATTTCTACCTTATTAAATAAATAAATAATTCATAACTATTATGCTAAAACAAAGTTAATTGAATATTATTTAACATAAGATCAATTAAGAGAAATATAATTAGAAATTATTAGTATAATTTTATATATATTTATATATATTGTTGGAAGAACATTGTTCTAAAATTCTTACATAAACTTCATGCCTTCAAAAAAATAACAGCATGCAATACAATACTATATTACTAATAAACATGTAAAATGTCCAAACAAACCTACAAAATAACGAATAAAGAAATTGGAAAAATAGTAGAATACCATCATACATTAAAAATATTACACTTTGATAATGATATTAATAATATTATTAATATCATTTTGCTTCTTTCTTTGTCATATCTTCTTCTGTTTTCCAAACAACATCATCCAAACTTGTTGATAGTTTCTTGTAGAACTGCATAGGGTTAAGCAAATGCTTCCATTAGATTCAAAATCGAAAAGATGTGTCCGGTCGCGCGTGCTAATTTCGTTCTTATGATATGCTCCCTCTCGTTATTATCATAAACAAAATTTACTTTTTAATTCATTGAATAACTGATGTATTTGATCTTTCTGAATAACTGATGTATCTGATCCCTAGAGATTAGATATATCAGTTATTCAATAAATAACGAACGGGAAGGAGTATCTATACACACGTTTGTGTAACACTTTCATTTTATACTGTCAATCAATCAACACTTTCATTTTATACTGTCAATCAATCACGGCGTTATCTGCACGGTTTTTCGGTAAAATATGAATAAGGAGACAGAAGGAAACCTTATGAAACTCCAATGTATCTCCTTTAGCTTTCCTTACTTCAACCATGTGAAGAGAAGGTGCCACTTGAAACACCTCTGTCGCAACATTAAGGTTTCCTTTCCTTCCGGCTTTCGAATTCGCAAGCCTCATCTGCGTAATAGTTTGTTAGTTTCATGAAAATACCATAAAATTTCGAGCAAGGTGTTTGAATAAGAACGGCTTACCTTGAAGTTTTTCTTCTGCACATCGAAGCCGAGAGGCTTAGCAGCTTCTTCAATCTTGCTGATGATCACGTCGGCCGAAGATGTTGATGTAAACCTTGTTTCCCTTTTAAATCCCTGTAACAGAAAGTTTAACAAAAGGAAATGCTAGTTTACATGTTCATCGCAATAGTGAAACAATTGCGAAAGAATCTTTATAATGTGAAGCTTCGAACCTGTTCTATATCAAACAAGTTTTCGAGGTTGAGTCCTTTCGACATGGAAATCAATTCAAACGCATTCATCGATGTTGGCTGCTCTTCTTTATTTTCCGTAACATGGTGCTCCTGAAAATATAGACAGAACACTTGAAGATACAATGCTCAAGAATTTTTAAAGACGGCTTCTACATCGTATCTAAAATTCTGTACGTACTACTGAATCTTTAAAGACGGCTTCTACGTCGTCGAGGTTGGTTTCGCCACTCTCTTCAAAAACAGGAGGCTTATAGTCTTTCTTAAACCATTCATCTTCCAAAATCTCGGCAATTGTGATGCGCTGCCATATAGTTAAGGTAAGTCAAATTCGCGGACTGAAATTTAGTCATTTAGTACAAAATGTTGTCGACGTTTCGGCAATTCAATTTTACATGATAAACAGAAGATAGATAATCAAACGTTGTTTCTTACCTTTGTAGGATTGGGTTCCAAGATTCGAGTGATTAATTTCCTTGCACTGAAAGAAAGCCATGGGGGGCAAGTAAATTCGGCAGACGAGATCTGCGGAACAAGAAACAAAAGTCATAAAACGAAAACAAATGAAAGAGTTAAATAGGAAAAATAATGTCGAAATGTCACGCGCGCTCACTTTTTTATACAGTTCCATAAGATTAGGATCATCAAAAGGTAAGTAACCTGCGACCAATACAAAGAGTATCACTCCGCATGACCACAAGTCCGCGTTCGCTCCATCGTAGCCTCTATCAGTAAGAACCTGTATATGTAAAAGAGTATATATAGTTAGAAAGTGAATCGAAATATATGAATTTACGAATAGAAACAACGAAGTAGCATGAAATAATGCGGCATTTGTTTGTTTCCACCTCTGGAGCAACATAATTCGGAGTTCCGCATGTCGTATGGAGAAGTCCGTCGTCCTGTAAAGAAGACAACCGTTTTGTAAGATATGAATCAACCATCACGATGCATGGAAAGTTCATCGAGTATAACAACCAAGAAAACTAAAATTCAGAAACGAATCGCGCTTGCTTACCCTAACTTGCTGGGAGAGTGCACTCAACCCAAAATCGGAGACTTTAAGATCACCATTAGAATCTAAAAGCAAATTTTCTGGCTGCAAAAAGTTCACGAATAGTAAAGTAATTTACACTAGAGCTTTTCTCGAGATTAACGATTTGGACGAAAGTATGGTACTGAATAGAACATTATGGTGGAAGTTGATCTATCAGCGTATAGAAAATGTCTGACAAATAGCTCTTACCTTAAGGTCTCGGTGATAGACACCTCTGCTGTGACAATAATCGATAACGTTTATAAGCTGCTGGAAATACCTACGCGCTTCATTTTCACCCATCCGTCCATGGTTTACCTTCACATCGAAAAGTCTATTAGAGTATACACAACATTTTTTCGAGGTAGATTGACAATGATGATAATCACGATGACAATGATGCTTGAATAAGTAAAAATGCTCACAATTTTGTCGAAAAGCTCCCCGCCAGTCACAAACTCCAATACAATATATATTTTTGTTCGGCTTCCCATGACCTGTAAGCAAAAATGCTTCTTACTTTAGAAACATAATTCGACAAAAGAGTAAACTACGTTTTAAAAACAGAAAATAAAATGTCATCACGTGAGCGATTGATGAGACCTCATATAGTTGAACAACATTTGGATGCTTGATTAACTTCATCGTAGCTACTTCCCGCTTGATCTGCAAAAATACATTACAAACATGTAAGAGACTTCATTCATCGATAGATTATCCTCCAACTTAAAGAAATTAGTTGAAAACAACTTATGAACGCGTCACAAGTTGTTTCCATAAGTTATCTCAAATAAACAAACAAGTGTTTATATCGCAGATAAGTTCAAATAAGTCAATTCAAACACCTGCTCAGCCATCTTGTGCCTGAGAACTTTCTCCTTGTCAATAATTTTGAGAGCCACGGCTTCACCGGTCTTAGAGTTCCTTGCGAATTTCACTTTCGCAAACGAACCCTCCCCGATTGTCCTCCCAACGTCATATATACCGACTCTACGCTTAATCTTCGGCTGACTCATTTCAACACCTTCTATAAAGCTTCACAATAAACAAAACTTCTGCTCAATATAAACAAACCTCAACCTGAAAAACACATCACAATTCAGTTCCTAACTAATAAAAAAACAAAATTCATCTTGAATATGAAACAAACACACAAAATCACTAACTATAAACACAAGATTTGAATGAAAACCATCAATGTTCATAAGTTCAAAATCATCATAAATTACTCACAAACATCAAACATAAATCACCCTCTACAAAAAAGTTGGTTAGACAAAAAGGACACTAATAAGACCCACCCCACCAAAAAAAAAAAAACTCTTCAAATCACATACACAAAAAGGTACCAAAAAAACCTAAAAATTCAATTTTTAAAAGGTAAAAAAATTGAACTTTATAGTAATTTTGAAGAAATTAACAGAAAAACAGCTCAGAAAACCAAACATAATCCAAAAGGGTTGCTGAAAAAGAAACAACAAAACAAACCCATAATTTTTCTTCCAAAACTCATTAACCATTAACCATATGAGTGTGTGTGTGTGTGTGTGTGAGAGAGAGAGAGAGAGAGAGAGAGAGAGAGGGAAATACTTAAGCTTTGAGAAGATATCTAAGTGGAAGGTTGATGATTATGTGAAAAGTATGAAGAGTATTGGTTTGGCTTTTGATTATAGCAAAAGGGTATAAAGAACTTAGAGACAAGAACAAACAATGAAAGACACAACAACCAGACAAATATTTTTGTTACCTAATGATGCATTTTCAGCAATGGAATTATGAGAAAAAAGCTTGAGCGGTTACACATCAATGCTTATCACCTTTTCATCACCATAAATAAAAAAACAATATTTTTCTGTGGAAAATAATATTGACAGATAGGAAAATCTTTCTGGGGCTGCTCTTTTTTATCATAATTGTTGTGTGGTCTCAATGTTCCTTACAAACACTATTCTTTTTCACACTTGAATACAAAAACTTGAGTTAAAAATGATGTGGTGCTGAATTTATACAGTCACAAATATTTCTTTTTGTTTTTTATTTTTGATACTTTATTGGAGAAATTAATTCAAGGAACAAAAAAAAGTTACTTTTTTTTTTCTATCAAACAAGTTTATTCTTGATGATAGAAAAGTTTCAAAAGCAATGTGTATTAAGGAAGAGAAGATGATGTAAATTGTATATTACATCATCTACATGAAAATTAAAAGCATTAATTTGGATGAGAATGTTTTACTTATAGAAGTAGTTATATACTATTGATAAATGTGGGAAGGTTTAGGAGATTGATATCCACTAACATGTTCTTAATACTCTCCTTCAATATAGCAACATGTCTAATTAAATTTTCACTAAAACCATGCTATATCATCCATTGTGTGACAATTCTTTGTTAAAAATCTTTTTACAAAAATCCAATGAAACAAAATCATGACAAGGAAAAATAGTGCATGGTATTTTTAGTTTAACCTCTCTTGGAGAGAATCAATCATCTCTAAGACAAAGAATGTCAATCTTCTATAGGATTTTTGTTAAGAGTTTTATGGATATGTAACAATAATTTATTCTATCGTTCAATAAAAAATCATCAATTTATTAAAAAAATTTAAATTGTTTTAAATTATCAATATGGTTGATATACATTTTTTATAAGTATAGAACAAAAACTAACAAGAGAAAAAACTTAAACAAGTAATGAATGGGATCTAAAGGCAAATCCTTCAAATTAAAATCAATAGACACAAAATTTTAACGCATAACCATTCTTAAGCAATACTTTTTGCTAATACTACAATATTAAATACTCATTTATGGTCTTCTTTGAAAAGAATATGATTTCTAGTCAACCAAATAGGCCAAGCAACGAACAAGCATAGAAGGAGTCACAATATTTTCTTGATATTCTCTTTCAAGAAGATATCAAAAGCAATCAAATGAGACAGATGATCCACTTGAAATGGCAAATGACTTATACTAATCCAATTCAACATGATGAGGGACACACGAGATACAATTGGGCAAAACAGAAATAAATGATCAAGAAATTCCGCTTGGCCAAAGCAAAGAGAACCATTATGTTATTATTGTATTAGATTGTGATTATAAATATATATGGTTATAAAATAGTAATGATTGTATAGGAAGCTATTTATCAAAATTATGGTTGTATATAATATCATAAATTTCATCAAAATTACTTTGAGCATCGAAAATGGTCAGTATAACATATGATATGAACTCTTCAAAATTTATGTTCGAGTTCATCAAGTTATTGATCACATTATTCTGGTCAAACCTGCATCCCTTCCCGACCTTAAAATCATTGTCCCTCTCCTCCGGTAATGTTTAGATGTTATCATGGACCAGGCATGTAATCGGTTATTCAATATTTTTTACGACAACAAATTTTTTAGGGTTTTCTACCTAGAGCAAGAATTTTTTAGTACTCGTATGGAAAAATTTCCCGATGCATCTACCTACGGTCAACGTCTGAAATCACTATTCGATTAACTCTCTAATGTCGGCGCTCTTGTGTCAAATGAAAGGCTAGTTCTTCAACTCATCTTTTGCCTTATTGGTGCGTACGCCACAGTCGGATTGCAAATTCGTCACATAGATTCTCTTCCCCATTTTTACAAATCTCATTCCATGATCATCCTATAGGAAACAACCAAGGCCAAGACGACAGCAAGTTCGGCCGAGAACTCTACTTTTCTATCCTCTCAAGATGATGTTCCAGCATCGGCATGTCATAACTTCAACAATAATAATAACAACAGTGCTCGTGGTGGCTGGAACAATGGTTGTTGTGGTCGTTGCAGGGGAAGGCACTGTGGTTGAAGTGGAGGTCTCTCTCAACCGCGTAATAATGGTTTTAATCTCCCTATCACCACCAGCCATGGGCATATCCATCGAAACCATGGGCAAACTCCGCCATGTCCCTATCCGACAGTAGGTGTGTCACAAAAATAGTCTGGCATACTTGGCCCCAAGCCTCAGCAAGCCCATATAGCCACTACTCCATCGACTTCCACCGGTCATCAAACACCACAATACTATGCTCCGAAGGACATCCAGGATGATATGCACACTTCTTCCATCTCTCCTCCTAATGATCAATGGTATATGAACAGTGGAGCAACTTCTCATATGACGGGAAATAGAGATAACCTCACGTCTTATTTTAATATGAGTGATAATACTATTGTTGGAAATGGTAATCATATTCTTGTTATTGGGTGTGGACATGCATCTTTACCTAATTCTCTAACCTTAAATAATGTTTTAATTTCAACGAAACTTATAAAAATCTTGTTTCTGTCAGAAAATTTACAATTAATAATGGTGTTTCTGTCGAATTTGATCCTTTCAAATTTTTTGTGAAGGATTTTTAGACAAGAACACTTTTAATAAGATGTAACAGTTATGGTAATCTTTACCCCGTTCCCACAAGACAAAACACAACAACATCACCACCATTTGCTTTTGGCGCTTCCTCTATCGAGTTACGGTATAGTCGTTTAGGGCATCCAAGAGCTCCTATTTTAAATTCTCTTCATTGAAACAAACTTTTGCTATGTAATAAGTTTTGAAATGATTTCTTTTATCACTCTTATCCACTTGGGAAACAAATAAAACTATCTTTTTTCCAATTCTTTGTCATTTACTTGTATGCCTTTTGGCATCGTTCATAGTGATCTTTGGGCTTCTCTAGTGTTAAGCTCTAAAAGGGCATCGTTATTATGTGTTATTCCTGGATGATTTTATAACTTTTTGTGGACTTTTCCAATCTCAAACAAATCACAAGTACATTCCATGTTTTTACAATTTCGTGCTCACATTAAAACATAATTTAAATGTGATATAATTTTTTTTCCAATGTGATAATGTCAAAGAATACGATCATGTTGTCTTTCAAAAGTTTTGTGAACTAAATGGAATATCCTTTAGATTCTATTATTCTCACACCTCCCCTCAAAATGGAAAATCTGAAAGAAAAACTCATCCAATCAATCACATCATCTAAATCCTCCTTGCTCATGTTTCTATTCTGCCAGTTTTTTGGCACCGCACTCTTCAAATGATCACTTACCTACACAACATACTTCCAAATAATAAACTCATTCTCCAATCACCCACAAAAATTACCTATAAAAAATGCGCCTCTTATTCACACCTCTGAGTATTTTGATGCCTTTGTTATCCCCTTATTCCGTCAACCACTATGAATAAACTCCAACCTCGATCTACACCTTGTGTATTTCTAAGCTATTAGTCTAATCATAGAGGTTATAAGTGTTGTGAATTGACAATTTGTAAAGTCATTATTTCTCGACAAATAATATTTTAAGAAAATATGTTTCCCTTTTCTATCATAAATGCTCCTACAACGACTAACTACAACTTTCTAGCTGAAGACATAATATTTCTTATCCCTTCACAATTGTACACTGCACCTCAAATGACATCTTCTCCCCCACATAACTACCGACCAACAAACTCTTTCAACCTCTCAACCTACACTTACGGTCCCAACACCCTCCCCGGCCCAACACACCTATCCCTTTCAACCATCACTTACGACCTAACATTCTTCTTCCTCTCAACCTACACCCATGGTTCAAACAAATCCCCCATCCCAAACACCAACCTCAATTACAAAAACAATTCCTACCTCCTTACCTCAACCTATTAACACACATATATCCCCTCATACACCTTCTTCTCCTCAAAAGACTAACATGCACACGACACGGTATTATCAAACCTAATAAGTTTTTCAACCTACACACATCAGCCTACCAATCTATTTCTCTTTTACCTACAAATATCATTGATGCATTAAATGATCATAATTGGAAAATGGACATGAAAGAGGAATATGATGCTCTTATTAGCAATAAGACGTGGGAATTAGTTCCCCGTCCCTCTAATGCTAATGTTACTTGAAGTTTGTGGATTTTCAGGCATAAGAAGAAATCTGATGGTTCTTTTGAGCCATACAAAGTTTGTCTTCTAG